CTCCTATGCAAACATTTAAAAAAATGGAAATATTTGCTCTTTATACTATCACATAGCTAATGTTAAACTCCTCTTTAAAAACTGAAACTCTCCCAAGTTGCAAAATAAAACATGCTGTTATTATGGAAAACACTGAATGAACAGAAATGATGTATTTTCCTTAATATATTCTATATGTTTCTTCATAAATACAAAAAAGAAATAATAAACTCGTGACATAAATAATTCACAAACCCCAATTTAAGCATTCACAACAGGGTAACTTTAAAAATAAAAGCTGCAGTACTAAAGAAACCTTCAAAACACTGCACAGTGGAAAGATTCTGGGAGTGGTGATATTTGCCTCTAGAGACTTATGCCTACAGCAGAAATGTAACACCTAGCAAAGCAGTATTTAGGGGCGTACTTGTAACAAATGTGTACTTATAACACAGCTTACCTGCTTTAGGAAAGTACTCTTAAAAAAAAAAAAAAAAATGTAATTTTTACTGGTATCACAGGAACTCCTCCACTTTAGGGCTTTTTAATAGTTAATATTGTAGTGTGAGAGCATTTGCCTCCTTAGGGAAGGGTGGGATTACACTGAGTTACAGAGCCAGGAGGAGGCAAAAGGCAAAAAACACCTTCTGAGCCAAATGCAGTACTTCATAGAGCTGAAAGTGAGCTGCCATATGTATTTATAACTGTGGCCACTTCTGCTCATGAGATTTGGGGGTTTTTCCCCTCATCTTCAAACTATAAATTAACTTTCCCTCAAAAGCTCAAGTTGAGCATAAAGAAAATGAGGATGTGACAATTACTGTTTTGCTCTATAGCAAAGCCATCAGAGATGGAGTAGGACTTGCTCCTCGAGCAAAAGAGAAATGTGTTTCCTTTAAGTCTTTGATTCAAAACAGTCACAAGATTTCTGCCTTGCTATTTTGCTCTTTGAACAGCTTCATACCATTAAGTTAAAAACAGTGATTTTACCAACATCCTCCAAATTTTGTCCGATGATGAGGTTTTAATGAAACCATGCTCATTTCAGCTTACTGATTGAAAGAAAAATTGAGATCCCAATTTCTTCATTCTGAAACGTGGCAAAAAGCTGTTTTCAAATCTCAGAATTTTCTGCATAATGGATATTATCAATATGCAGCTACTGATGTTTCTCATCAGGATTACCTGACAACTCTCATTTGAAGATTTCATTCATTCCTATTACCTGTAATTTTGTGAAACATTTGATGTATGAAAGGAAAACTTCCAAATTTCTGTAACAGCTGTTTTGAGCTGTGTGTACTTTTTTTTTTTTTTGGAGTCATACATCCACTGCTGGAGGAAGGACCAGGTAAAAGTCAAGAAATTCCAAGTTTTCCCACTGAAAAATCCTCAAGAGATCTTCTCGAAATGATCTATACTTAGAGGAAAGACCTCAAATTCCACCTTGGAGATGTGAAAGTTCAATCTGAATGTCACACTGTGCAGCTTTGCAAAGTTTGCTATCCATATGCTTTCTACAAAAATCAACTTCTAATTCAGAAGCAACTCCCTGAAGGTCCTGTTGCTTTTGAACATGCTGCATCCTCCAACAGCCCCTGCTTCACTTGCTCAGCCTTGTCAGCCCCAGCAAACCATCTGTGAGAAGTTCACTTTAGGCCAAATTGGCCAGACATATCTGCAGAAGAGACCCAAAATGCCATCTTCCTGACTATCTTCTCTGCAAAAGCATTATTTTTTCTTATTGCTGAGTAAGAAGTAGTCACATGATTCAAACTAAGAAAAGGAGAAGCAGAACCAGAGAGCAGTCAAACACTGACTCCGGTGCTGAGTCTGGCAGCAATGAAGGTGGTAGAGGAACTGTGCCCAGACAGTGGGGACCGCAGACTGAACTGTCAGGCCAAAGGGATATTCAAGTGACAACAAGGGCTCCCAGGGTACAGATTTGTGAGAGTAGAAGCCTGGACATATGAGGGCTCAATGGAAAATTTAGTATTTGATTACATGAGCAAAAGCACACTAACATGCCAGTATTGTATCCTGATTATATGATGGACCACACATGTGCATATGAAGGCATATCAAACTCAGTTTCCCAACTTCAGAACTACCACACCACTTCTCCAATAATAATAATGCTCTTTACACAGTACAGTATCTGAGCCATTCTGCCCACAGAGAGCTGAAATGCAAGTCTAAGAGTAGGTTGTCTAATGCAACCTCTTTCCCCAATCCTGTATTAGGAAGGCATAGATTTGGTTAGACAATAATTTCTTAGTTCTGCTAAGAAAACACTTTGGGGTTTTTCTCCAATCTTTAAAGCAGCCTCAGTGCAAAAATCCATCTTATTCTATTACTGTATTTAAATTCTTTCTCGCAGGAGATGCAACCAGAGCCACTGGAGTGTGATAAGATTTTTTTTTTGCTGGTCTTAAAATGCTGTAAACCATGTCTGATATACTCTTGAAATGCCAGCATCACACATGGATTAAAATTCCCCTTTCATGCTGCACTGAACAATGTGATTACGTCTGTAATACCATAAAGAAACCATGCCAACAATAGAGAAAGCATTTACAGCGCAGGTCATTAAAACATGACAAATAGGCCCAGCAAGTTAAGCTCTTTCAGTGGACTGAATAATTAATTACTAGTTAACTAGTAAGGAACAAGAGGTAAATAATTTATTACAGAACCAGAAGCATCATAACAAGATGGAGAAAAATGACTTCACTTTAAACAGCGTCTCAAGAGACTGAAAAGCAAAAGCATGGACAAAGCACAACAAATGTGAAAACAAAAGAGATTTAGAAGATCTGTCACAGTCCAAAATGAAGTCTTCATACAAGTTTATGCATAGCAACCAAATACTTGCTGAAGTTAATCCTAAAAGCGGTGGTGGCTCAAAAGATCAGGGAGAGGAAAGGAGTTAGGGTAGAAGTCTCCACATTGAAGATTACTTCTGGCCAAGTAGTCTGCCTGTTTCAGCACACATCCACTATTCCCATCTGGTATGATGCTAGTCTATGCTATGCAAGCACATGTGCTGTCTGTACAAAGCACAGGAGGTAAACAGGACAAGTTAGACTGAGGGCTATATAATTCACTATGAAGTCTGCTTAGACATGAGGCCCCACTAAGAGATCATAGTTCAAAAAGGAAACGCAGAGAAATATTCATCTTCTGTTACTTACACTGGAAGAAAATAAAAGAACAGAATGGAAGGACTTGGTTTAATCACATGAAGCTTCCATTAAAAGACTCAATTTTTCACACTGGGTCTAACAACTCAGTGCAAGTGCTTCAAGTTGTTCATACTAACAATGCCAATATTTCCAATGATGAAAAAACTAGAATTAAGCTCTTATTTGCAGGGTTTTTTTCCTAATCAGGTTCATTTTTTGTTTTTTGAAATGCTGAAAACAAAACAGCTCTAACTGGCAGCTTCCATACATTGCATTTTAAAAATAGCTCTTAAATACTTGGCACTTGGGAGGACTTTTCCTTCGAGATTCAAATAAAAGTGGGTCAGGAAGGCTTCTTTTTTTTTCTTTTTTTTTTTCCCCAGCTCCTACAGAAAAAGATATAACCTGATATAAACTTTCCTACACAACCCCATCAGATTGGCACTTCAATAGATCCCGCCCGGATTGTTGTTTTGATCGGATTTATTTATTCGAGTGGATTCAACATTCATCTTTCCCACTAACTTTGGATGAGGGAATCACATGATCTTCCAATAGATGCAATTAAGTTTTTTAGAATTGCACAGGAGAAAATATACATACAAATAAAAGACTCCACAGAACAACTGCTATGGCTGTAGTACAGAGGACAGCCAAGTGCATAATCTAGCCTTTCAATCTATCTGAGATTTTGAGGGTGTTTCAGTGACTCAGTTTCTTCAGTTGACAGTTTATATAGAGTGGCTAGAACAGTGGTGCCAGACAATAATGAAAAAAGAGATGGTACTGGAAGGACTAGGTCTAAGACATACACTGTTACTCACTGAGCATTTCTACAATATTTCTGCAGAACTCAAGTCATCATTCACTTTTTTATGTCTACTTTCCTTTAAAGGAGGGAAAGAGAGAGAGCTGGGACAGGAGGAGGAGACAGGGACCAGAATCAATAATGAAAATTTTCCCTTGTTTGAAAAAAAATAAAAAATAAAAAAAAATAAAAAAATAAAAAAATCTGAGACCTGCTTACCAAAAATCACTTGGCAAGTTAAAATAACAGAGAAAATATATCAGCTTGAGGGAGCTGCTATTGGCAGATACAAGGAGGATATGTTTGCTTAGGATGAGCAGGTTTTTCTTTCATCTCAATACAACACTTTTGAATGAAAAAAAGATAGGAAAGACGTGTGAGACATTAACATAAAGCCTGTTCTTAATGTTTTTGCATGCTTTTATGTAAAGAAACATTGATGTATAACAAATATGTTGAGTGTTGTAAAATGACTATGCAAAACAAATGTATTGAATACCAGAGTATTACAGAGAATAACATTTGTATGCTCCTCAAAATAAAGCAACTTGATACTTGATGAAATATTCTTTGCCAGTTGAAGAAATCCATTCATCTTACAGAAAACTTAGTATATGTTTAAGAAACTGCTAGCTACCGTTTTCGCATAAATAGCTGATACAATTGCATCTTATGTGATTATAACAGGAAGTACTTTAAAAAGATCACATTTTTACAGCAAACAGTGGATGAGAGCAGCAAGCAGAACAATCTAGTGCGTATTGCACCTCTTCCAATTCCTTTTCCCATTTCTGTACTCCATGACATCCACTTCAGCCATTCTGCTGTGCTCCCGGACAGATTTTGAGCACTGCATCATAAAGACTTGTGAGAGGTAAAAATCAGTGCAATAATGGATGAGTACATAAATACTATTTTGCTTGTTTCCATCCAGTTGGCTGATGCCCTTATGCTTTATAATGAAGTTTCCTACAGAAGCATCTTAGTACCAAATTCATACAGGAAATTTTCTTTAACAAACTTCACAGATACCTAAAACCTATTTTAACACATGCCGGTCCACCTCTCACGACGACGTTACCTGACTGGTGTAATCCTGTTGCCAGAATTCTGACCAGCCCCAGGGCGTATGGCGTAAGTACCTAACTTGGTTAATGGTATTTCAAGTGTACCCCAAAAGTCACTGCACTCAATGGAACAGCCTGGCACAGTGCTTTTCCTAAAGCCTATTACTTTTATAGTGAAGGATTAGAGGGAGTTCTCCAGGATTGTAGAGAGGGATCCCAGAAGGTGCCATGCTGCATTGTGAAGAATGGACACACATACTCAGCTCACGAGTCAGATTTTAAATAATCCAGTCAGATGCTGAATGAAAGCATTGGCTGCTCCATCTGACTAATGTCAGTGATATTTAAGCACTGAAATTATCCTAGAGATCTGAATAGTAAATTCACTTCACAGCACCGTCCAAGAGCTGAACATGGTAAGCAACTATTTGCCCTAATCATCAAAATTTCTTGAAGATCATAAGTTAATAATTGAAAGAATAAGGAAATTAAGTGAAAGGAATTGTATCTAACCTGTTCTTCATTTAAACCTTATAAAAATCCTCTTCAATGGTCCTTTCACTGATATTTTTCCTTGTTTGAAACATACAGGATCAGCTGAAGAATGAGGACACAGATTATATCATAAATAATGATGAACTGACCAAAAACTATGAAGCATCTGCTCACACACTAGTGCCTGCACAGGACAAAACAGGCTGCAGCAGCCAGGCTGCAGGCAAGGAAGATATTCATGAAGGAGACCTTGGATTAGGAGCATACAAACTCCAGCTTGAACACACTCCAGGTCAACCTGAGCTGAATTCATCAGCATGAACAGTGTAATTTTAAATCAGAAGAAATAAGTAAACCAAAGAAATAAAAGATATAACTTCATGAAGAAAAAAACAAGAAAACATATTAAGGTTTCTTAGATTTTTGTGCTAAGATGTTACCAAGTAAGTTCTGGTTTCTCTGTTGAAAAAAAAAAAAAAAAAATAGTATCATCTACACAACTACAACAATATGCAATTTTTCTTTACTGCAGCACTTCTTATTAATAAAAGATAGATACTGCCAGCCCTCTGTAAATCCATTACAGTCACATGTTCTCTGAGATGGCATTTGACTGCATCATATCCCTTTCACATGTATGCTTTCCTTTGAACATTAATTATAATCTTCAGTCTGCTGGGATGAAGACAAATACCTTCCTAACATACTCAGAGCATGTCTAATACAAAGCTCCTAGAACCTTTGCATTGAATACTGGATTCTCAGAGGTAAAATGTGCTTATTTTACTCTGCTTCATCTTGGTAGCAAGGTCAGCTGTAGTTAGAAAAACAAGAGGAGAATTTAAGTATGAAAGTATTAATTATATCTGCATAAACGCAACAATGGAATAAACAAGGATTCAATCTCACACACCTAGATGCCCTATCCCTATTATTATGTTCTAGCACAGACGAGCACTTGTACCTACTACATAGGTAGTGTAAACACAGGGAGAGAGCCAGGCTATCGTTAGGTCACATGCTTTTTCTCACCTCCAGAGTTTCAACAAACAGCAGATAATATTCCTGACTAAGCTTCTTAAGTAGGGTCATTCTTAATGCACACCACAAGCAACGAATTTGTCATCTCTGAAAAAAATGAGTCATTTTCATGAGTGTTTGTAAAGACAAATATATCTTGATTTCAACATAGATAGAAACTGAAATACGAATTTAAATATAATCAAACCTTAGTCATTCTTTTCCAGCCTAATTAATTAGTAAATGCAACTAGAACAGCTGCTTTAAGCCTTAAATTTGAACACTAGAGTCCTACATGCTGTTATGAAAGATCAGAAGTCTAGTTTGACATTTTATTTTTCCCTAAATACTAACCAAGAAATTTCAAAGGAACTTAGTTCATGTGTGGTTTAAAAAAAATAAGTCACAATAGGTTCTGAGAAAAAGTAATTAATTGCCAACTCCTTGCTTTGTCTTACTGTGGTGAAACTAAATACATATATGTGTGTGTGTGTGTGTGTGTGTGTGTGTGTGTGTGTGTAACAGGTTATGAGAAGGGATGGAGATGGGGTGAAGATATAAGATTTTCTGGCCTAGTACTATGCATCCAGCAGCACATCATCAGAATGGCAAAGAGAAGAGCAAACAAGATAAACAAGCTGTTACAAGCTGCAGTGAGATTAATATGCAGCAACACCATGAGAAAACTATTACCACAGATGGGTAGAAGCACAGTCCTGATTTCAGTAGCCAGAGTTTCCAATTTCTATCTTCACAAGTTCTGAGTACTTCTCCCAGGCTTCCTATGTACCTCAAGAAGCATGGACTCCCACCCTTAGCCTGTAGCACAAATTAATAAGCTGTTGCAGAATTTCAGAGACGCCGAGCTGCTTTTCCCAACTGCTATACGTACTGGAAATGACAAGCTCTTAACCAAAAGTTCTGGTCTGCAATGCATCCTGCAGCACACTGTGGGATTTTCACTGATTTATTTATTGTATCTATGTCCAAATTTCTCACACTTCTGAGAAACATGATCAATGAAGAACTCTAGGCCTGAAATTCTATTTATTCTAAAAAGAGTCAGTAGTGAAAACACTCTTCACTGTTCTATCTGCATGCCTAAAAGTCCATATTACTTGGTAAAGAAATTCATTTCTTGTAACAGAAGTGCTCATTCTTCATGTCTTCGCATATCAGATTTTTATGCTAAGCTTGTCAAGAGGCTGAATCAGAGGTCCCAGCAAGATGGGGTTTTGTCCTCTAGGGCTATGCTCAGCCAACCATATAGTATCACTGTTTTTTAGGAAAACTAGTAAAGTGAGCTGCAAAAAAACATGAATCTTCTCCTGAAAGGCAATAAAAGCCTTGGTGATTCATTACACTATTCAGCCGTGCCATTTTTTAATTTTGAGATATTCTTTTCAACACATGCAGTTCAAGAGAGTTAAGACTATGGTAGAAGAGATGATGTATCTGTATCCGAGTAGAAACTGCTGGCAACTATTAATTCTGCACAACCTTTTAAACAGCATAATGGATGTTGAGAGGCCTCTAATGTTAATTTATAGTTTGTACTCCAGAGATTTAAACTATTCAATATCAGTGTTTGAACATGCAAGTTACTCATGATAAATGTGAAGTTATTCTTCCTATCTGAGCTAATGTAATAAAACAGTACTTGGAAAAATAAAATGTAAAATACTGTCAAAACATAGTGACTGCACATGCAGTATGAAGTCCAAAATATTATGAAACATAAAAATCTCCTCAATCACAAAACCTTTCAAGTTTCAGAAGTAATAACTGAAGTTTTATACTTAGCTGCTGAGAGCATTTGGCAAACGTTCAAAGCAGAATGACTCCTGGATGTGTAGGGGAGCCAGTCCCAAAGACACTGTACTAAAAATATCAGGTCACGATGCTAACTTTCACAGAGAACTGTAACATTTGGCGACCTCACTGAAAGCAGAGGCCACTAGGAGCATGCATTTACATTGCTGTGATAAAAGCTCTAACTCTTTCATAGTAACTCTGTTAGGGCTAACTTCAGAAAACCAATTATGTCTGTGCAGAACTTCAGCTGTTAAACTCACTGAATTGAAGCCAAAATTACTCTTTCCATAGAGCAACTTCTGTGCCTTGCTGGGCTTAGGATGGTCCATACAACAGATCTTTCTTTCCTTTCAAAAACTGGTATGTATTTTGCTATCAGCCACCAAGTAATGCAGGAATATCCTCTCCAATCTTCATGTTTCCAATTATATTCTTCCAGCTTTCCCACTGTTAACAAATACACTGGCTTCCTCCCACAGAAGCCCAACCTTGCTCTGGGCTGTCTTCCCCCTGCTGACCAGAGAAGGCACGGAGTGCTGCACAAGCTCTGCTGCATGATGGCTGTAATAGCAACAACTCTGCTCCCAAACAAATAATTTTTCCATCAGAGCAGAGGAAACATTTTCCCCATATAATTTACTGTCACTGGTCACTACTATTTCCCTCCAAAACTAGATTTGAGGCACAGAACAAATATTGTTTCAGGCCTCAGAGGATTCCCAAATCTGAACAAGTCAAATTACATTCATCCTTCTGAGGACACAGCAGTGCTTGAAATCTTAGTGCCAGAAACAGTAGGGAATGCCCGGGAGAGTTTTCCAGCCCGTGTCCTACATCATTCTTTACTACGCAGCTGTCTGCTTCTGTATGTCCATCAGCACAGAAGCAGATGGACACAAATAAAATGCTACTTTATTCAGTAAGGATTTGAAACTAGAGAGCAGTACGCCTAACAATCTAAAACACTGACAAAAAAAAACTTCACACTATGATAGTAGGCATTATGTAGGTCTAGGACAAGTTATACACAAGTGAATTGAAGTAGAATAATATCTCATAAGCATAATGAGATTTCTGACTCCAGAGGTACGGTTCCATCTAAATATAACCCAGTACTTCTGCATACATGCCTGAATGGAAACGAAAATAAGAGAGAAAAGGAAAAGAGTAAATGAATGATGAAGCAAAAAAGAGGGTAGCAAGGCAGGGAGAAATCTGTGCCAGAGAAGATATTCAGATTGAAAAAGATCGCCAAGACATCCTGTTGCAACTGCAGACTAATGAAGTATTGACCAAGAGCACGAGAAACCAAGAACTATCACAGAATCACAGAATCACCCGGGTTGGAAGGGACCCCAAGGATCATGTAGTTCCAACCCCCCTGCCTAGCAGGGCCACCAAACATACACATTCAGATCAGGTTGCCCAGGACCCCGTCCAACCTGGCCTTAAACACGTCCAAGGACGGGGCATCCACAACCTCCCTGGGCAGCCCGTTCCAGGGCCTAACCACTCTCCTAACTTGACTTTAACTAACTTGAAAAATGCTGCTAAAAGCTGCCAGAGCCACATTCCTGACTCAAATACTGTTCTATAAAAACTTCAGCACCCCACAGGCCTAAAAGGGAGCCACTTCTACCAGATGAAGACTGATCAAATTTAAAGAAAATGAAGGAAAGGGAGCTGGGGTGAAAGGCTAATCCTTCAGCAGCACTCTTAGCAAAGCAATAGTGGGCTGATATTTGCGCAAGTTTGAATAAACAACTGAAGATAGAAATTCTTCAGTCTTCCTCATTTCTTCTCTCCCTCCTTTACCAGCTATTCATTTTTTCAACATTTGTCTCTTTTATCTTCCCTGTGTTTTAGAATGAAATTTTGTTTTCCTTAGTGCTTTGACTAGAAAAAAATTATGATCTTCTATCCCCTCTAGCACAGTAATGACAGCCAAAGCTGTAATAGTTCTTCAAAAAGAAATCAAAACAATGTCTGTCAACTACATGTTTACTTTAAGTACAGACTGTGCTCAAAGAGATGTCTCAAGCACACTGTGGTATACTTCGAGCACTTCACTATGGCTACCAAAGTTAAGAGCAAGCACTTTAATTACAGGAACCAAGGATAAAACAAAGAACAGGCAAAAAAAAAAAAAAATAACAGAAAAAACAACTTATTTTTAAAAGAAAAAAATGCTGACCACAAAAAAAAAGTCACAATTCTGTACCATAACTGCTTAGTTTACTGTAGGAATCAATCTGCAGACACTGAGTTCCCAATATTTAGAGTTCTGAACACCAATAATGAAGAATCTGACAAGGACCTTTGAACTTCTTAAACTTGGTTTAAAACAAACATCCTCCCCACTTGGGCAAGCTCCTCACACACCAGCATTTGGCAGGGTTTAACCAGAAAATGCAAAACTGTTTCTGAGATGAGGTTTTAAAACACTAGCAAAGGATTTCATTGCACAGGCAAGAACACGGAGGCAGTGCCCCTGACTTTTAGTCTAGTGTAGGTCCTCAGAGAATAACTTTAAACTACCACTTAACTTCCAAAAAAAAAAAAAAAAAGACAGCCAGCCATCCCAGCTAGATTTCCCAAGGAAGAACACTCTTATGATCATACTGCACAAGTTTTATACTTTCTGTACATGTAGCTAGGAAGTTATTTGAAATTATTTGAAACACTCATGAAACAGTGAATACACAAGTAACACTCCAGACTGTATACAATCCAAACTAGTCTGAATGCTGTTGCGTAAACAAAGAAATAATATTAATATTTGACATTGGTTTTTGTGTCTCCTCTTAATCAGAAGGTTGAGAAAAACTATTCATTTCACAGACATTTGACAACATTCTCTGAAATTTATTTAAACCCTGTATAACAAAGTTTATTAGGGCAAAGCAAATATAGATTAATGGGTGCCCTCTGTTGTAAGTCACAGTTCCTCGCTGATACAGAGCAATTCTAAAAAATTTTAACTGGCCGTACCACAGGTATTACCTGAATGACCTCAGAGACTTCCACTAGCCATCTTTATTCCCAAAAATTCTACACAGCACAAAGTGCAGAAGAAG